CACACACCCCAGCAGGCGCATCTGACGACTCAGTACCTGCCGTGAGGGAAGCACACAACATCCATCGCCTCCACACCCTTTTTTCTCCCTCAGGTACTCCCTGCTAATGTCCTGCACCCTGCTGCTGTCGTGGACCCAGCTGCTGTCACGAGCCCTAATCCGCTTCTGCTGACGCAGCCCCTGCTCCTGACCCAGGCCCACACACACCCCAGCAGGCGCATCTGACGACCCTGTACCTGTCGTGCGGGAAGCACAACATTCATCGCCTCCACACACCCTTTTTCTCCCTTCTCCCACAGATAGTGTGTATCTAGACAGTTGTATTTCAGCGATCGGCTCATCACGCCATCGCCGTTGTCTCACATGAGGCATGCACCGCCCGGTCTGCCTCACATGTGCTAAGCAACTCTACAGACAACAAGTCTCCTACACCGCCTGGAGGGAAGGGGGAGTATTGTAGTGGACGTCTCCCCTACAAACTGCGTAGCTGCACACCACCTGCTACCGTCTTCCCTAGCAACCAAGCGTATCCGCATTCCAATGCCCGCCGTATCCTAGCAACCGAGTCAAAAGGCCGGCGACTTCTCGGGTTTTCCCAACATGACTCATAGCGGCTGCTGGGTATATAAGCTCTGTCTCTCCATTGAGATTCATTCTGACCATTCTTGAACCAGCAACACCTCCTCCTCCACCGCTGCCTGGCCTTTGCTTCTCCTCGCCTGCCTGGCGGCCCTCGCTCCCGCCAGCGAGCATGGCGACCCACCAGATGTCCTCTGAGCTTCCTTACCAACCAACTTTCATTCTGCCCATTTTCCTGAACAAGCAACACCTCCTCCAGCAAGCTCCTAGCTGTTAACATTTATTTCAACCAGGAGGCCAGCAACAGGCAACATCTTCTCTAACGAAGCTCCTGCACATCTACCTCCTTCAACACGCTACTCACCGAACGTCTTCTACTGAGCAGCTCCCCACCACACGGCATCTCCAGCACCAGACTGTCTTCATATAACTTATATATTATACAAGAGAACCACATTAGAGTTTCCTTCCATCCTGAGTGCTAGACAACATTAATATCTCGATACCCCTACAGAACGCTTACCGGCTAGGCCACAAGGACACTAAAAGCAGTTCTAGACTCTGTTATATTTCACACAAAGCCTGTTCATTGAGCTGATGGCGCCGTGAACCTCATTGGGAAACTGCCCGTGCCTCTTATGTGGTGTCAGTAGCATTTTACCGAATCCAGCTGGTATGAAACGAGAGGTACATATATATACTTCATTTTTAGTCCATATAACACGCGGACTTTGAACATGCGTTTCATACCAGCTGGATTCGGTAAAATGCTACTGACACCACATAAGAGGCACGGGCAGTTTCCCAATGAGGTTCACGGCGCCATCAGCTCGATGAACAGGCTTTGTGTGAAATATAACAGAGTCTAGAACTGCTTTTAGTGTCTTTGTGGCCTAGCTGGTAAGCGTTCCCTAGTCCCACCCAGTAGGTCGAGGGTTCGATTCCTTGCTGGTGAGGTCGTTGATTATATGTTCAAAGTCCGCGTGTTATATGGACTAAAAATGAAGTATATATATATATATATATATATATATATATGCTTTCGTGTAATTCACATCTTCAGGGGTGAGTACAGACTAGAGAGAGTAATACAAATCAAGGTGTATATATACAGAGGAGGGTGAGACCAGGTCCACAATGGTCAGGTATTAGGTAATGACCCTACTAATCTTTAAATAGCACACAACGGTTGGTGGTCAGGTCAGATGGTCAAGTGACCCGGCCTTCTCACCTGATCACAAATCTTCTTAATTACAAAATTGTCCAGCTTGTACATGCCGTTACTCAAATTCATGTTGAATGCTTCGGTATGTTTAATAAGACTAGATTCTATGATGTTCCTACTATCAATTGAATTACATGGTAATATTGAGGAGGCATTATCCCAGTCAATGCAATGCTTGTTATCCCTCAAATGAACAAACAGAGCATTGGATTCCTGGCCTGTCCTAACACTGTATTTGTGTTGTTTAATTCTAGTTGCAAGATCTTTACCTGTCTGGCCTAAGTAAAACATATTACATTCCTTGCAAGGAACTTTATAAATGCAGCCAATTGTGTTGTTGGGGGAGTTCTTGATTAACATTTGTTTAACAGTGCATGAGTTTTTAAATGCCACATTGACGTTCCAGGTTTTTAGCTGTGCAGGAATGTGTGAGAAATTTTTGTGAAATGGTAATATTAAGATATTCTTATGGTCATGGGTGGGCTTGGGATCAGTTCTATAAAAAGTTTTCTTAGTAATGTTTAGGCATTTGTCTATGAAAGATCTAGGGTATTTAAGGTTTGAGCCAATATTATATATATATTTGTATTCCTCATCGATGAATTCCGGACTGCAAATTCTCATGGCACGTAAAAACATTGTTGAAAATACTGACTGTTTGACTATTGTAGTGGAATTCTCCCCTACAAACGCTGTTTGTCGCTGCCTAGCCGACCCCACCAATTCCCCAGTGTATGCCTCGTGGTCTAGGTCAACCAGCGCCGCCATACACCACGGAGCGGGGGTCAACTGCTAAGCCACGCCTACCCCCGCTATTTAAGACCTGACCTCGTGGTGATCTGTCTCTCTTCTACCTACACCAACCAGCCAGCAACACCTCCGCCTGCCTGGCGGTCCTCGCTCCTCCGCCTGCCTGGCGGTCCTCTCTCCCGCTGGCGAGCATGGCGACCCACAAGCTGTCCTCTGAGCGTCCTCACCAACCAGCTCTCTCTACATTACGCTTGTAACCATGCTGCCTTCCCAGCACCAAGCTGCATTGTACATCCAATACAACATGTATATAGAGAGCACATTGTGAGTTTCCTTTCTCCATCCCATCCTGAGTGTGAACCAAACAATCCCATACCCCACAAATGGTGACCCCCGGAGATTCGCACTCACACAGGATGGAGGAGAAACAGATCACTCTCCCAGTCTTCAAGCAACATGGAAGACTGGCTTATCCACCCAGAAGCAGCTCTCATCGGCTCTACAGCTACTGTCTCTACACCGCAGGTTAGACACCCTAGAGCAGCTCTGCTACTCTAAGCAGACACCAGCTCCTCTTCCTGCCCTAAGCACCACGTCCTACCGACCCCAGCACACCCGTCCTGCCTCAGACGCCGACCCCGGCCCAGCAGTAACCCCTGCCGCCCTTGATGCGGCCTCTGTTCCTGAGTGCGGACACACACACCCCTCTTTTCTCCCCCAGGTACTCCCTGCTAATGTCCTGCACCCTGCTGCTGTCGTGGACCCAGCTGCTGTCACGAGCCCTCATCCGCTGCTGCTGACACAGCCCCTGCTCCTGACCCAGGCCCACACACCCCAGCAGGCGCATCTGGCGATTCTGTACCTGCCGTGAGGGAAGCACAAAATTCATCGCCTCCACACACCCTTATTCTCCCTCTCTACTCCCACAGATATTGTGTATCTAGACAGTTGTCCCCAGCGACCGGCTCATCCACGCCATCGCCGTTGTCTCACATGAGGCACGCACCGCCCGTTCTGCCTCACATGTGCTATGCAACTCTGCAGACAACAAGTCTCCTACACAGCCTGGAGGGAAGGGGGAGTATTGTAGTGGAATTCTCCCCTACAAACGCTGTTTGTCGCTGCCTAGCCGACCCCACCAATTCCCCAGTGTATGCCTCGTGGTCTAGGTCAACCAGCGCCGCCATACACCACGGAGCGGGGGTCAACTGCTATGCCACGCCTACCCCCGCTATTTAAGACCTGACCTCGTGGTGATCTGTCTCTTTCTACCTACACCAACCAGCCAGCAACACCTCCGCCTGCCTGGCGGTCCTCGCTCCTCCGCCTGCCTGGCGGTCCTCTCTCCCGCTGGCGAGCATGGCGACCCACAAGCTGTCCTCTGAGCGTCCTCACCAACCAGCTCTCTCTACATCACGCTTGTAACCATGCTGCCTTCCCAGCACCAAGCTGCATTGTACATCCAATACAACATGTATATAGAGAGCACATTGTGAGTTTCCTTTCTCCATTCCATCCTGAGTGTGAACCAAACAATCTCATACCCCACACTATATTATGGTGGGCAGAATAATAATGAATGTATGAACACACATTAGTTGGTTTTCTATAAATACTGAACTTAAAAGTGTACCTATTCTGTGTATCAGATAGTCTAGGAATGGCAATTTACAGTCTTGCTCTAATTCCACAGTGAATTTGATCGAGGGGGCTAAGTTGTTAAGTTGTGGCAGGAAAGCTTTTAGGTCCTCATTACATGGCCAGAGACATAATACATCATCAACATATCTAAACCAGACTGCTGAGGGTGGTAAAATATTACTTAATAGTTTCTTTTCAAAGAATTCCATATATAGGTTGCTTAATACAGGTGAGAGTGGATTACCCATTGCCATACCAAATTTTTGAGCATAATATTCCCCATTGAATTCGAATTTGCAATCCTTAATACATAGTTTGATGAGTTCGATGAAGTCGTCTTTCGAGACGGGCAGTGAAATGTTATCCAGGGAATCTATGAGGAACTCTAGTAAATCATCAACTGGGACCTTTGTAAATATATATATATATATATATATATATATATATATATATATATATATATATATATATATATATATATATATATATATATATATATATATATATATATATATATATGGTATGAGGAACTCCAGAGACAACTGTTTGGTGACTTAGAATATTATTGATATAGATATGTATTTTTGTAAACTCCGAGGGGGAAAACGTAAAGATATTTTGTGAATCCGCGCTAGAACGAATATGCATCCCCGCCGGGGGTTGGGGGAGGGGGGAGAGACGCAATGGCGTTGTTTACATCCCAAAGACGCGTCGGGTGGGCCCAAGTAACAGGTGTGTCCCACGTATTTCTTGCTCTGTTAGAGTGTGTTTGATAGATTGAGCATAATAAATGTTATATGAAGAATGTGATGATCTCGTGGAGGTAGTCTGTAAGCCAGAATAAGGCTAATTCTAGCTTTGCTCTACAGACATTCACCCTGGAGTGAGTCGACAACAACAGCCACTCCCCTGTGTTATACTGGTGGGTTGGGTTTATTATTTATTGTTTAATTCCTACTACTGTGTGGTACCAATATGTGAATATGACAACAGTTGATGCTTGTTTTGTAAGTATAATGTAATAATGTATAATAACTAGTTATGTCTGATCTAGGTCCCAGCCTTTTCCCTCTCGGGTGATTCTAGAGTAAATAAATGAGAGAAAACTACAAGTGTGTGTCCTATCCCTGCTTTGTGCTTTGCTATATATATATATATATATATATATATATATATATATATATATATATATATATAGAGAGAGAGAGAGAGAGAGAGAGAGAGAGAGAGAGAGAGAGAGAGAGAGAGAGAGCCATTGTGAGTTCCCCTTCTTACCTCCATCCTTAGTGCGAGATCTCCTACATGTACGTATGTGAGCCCTACAAAGAGAAAATAGACTAGCATAGAGAGGTTTGACAACTGGCTACATACAGTACGCTACACTGTAATACGGGTCCGACTAATTACCCAAATGTAGCCGCAATGAAGTCAAATAATGGTCCTACATGAATAAATCGGACTGCCAATCACTTCTCGACTAGTATTTGGTGTCACAAAGTAAAAAAAAGTTGGAAAACGTAATTTAATCTGAGTTAATAGATCGAGTGCATGTACCGAAGGAGCGAGTAATTACCCAAATGTACCCAAATGTAGCCGCAATGAAGTCAAATGATGGTCCTACAAGAATAAATCGGACTTCCAATCACTTCTCGACGAGTATTTGGTGTCACGAAGTCACAAAAAATTGGTAAACTTAATTTAATCTGAGCTAATAGATCGAGTGCATGTACCTAACCTAACCTAACCTAACCCAACCTAACTCAGATTAGATTAAGTTTACCAATTTTTTGTGACTTTATGACACCAAATAATAATCGAGAAGTGATTCACAACCCGATTTGCGCTTGTAGGACCATCATTTGACTTCATTGCAATTACATTTGGGTAAATTTGGGTAATTAGTCAGACCGCTGTAATACCTAAACGTAGATAAAATATGGCTTGGAAATTTCCTTTAAGCCTGATTATTGAAGATATATTATGTCATTAATGATATTACTGTGTATTAATCTCTATAATTTATTACGGGTACAAGAGGAGTTAATATTTCAAGTGACATGTATTTAATTTATCAGACACAAATTAATATTTTTTATTATGAATGTCATGAAAAAGGTAAATATATATTTTAGTGTAATTACATATCAGTACAATAGTTTATTGTGGATAATATATAATTTATATTATTATTACATATACATTGACTTGTCGATTAGATGTATTTTAATAATAATTATATTCATATATTTTTAGGTTAAGTATGAACATGATGTGACGTTATCATGTACACAAACTCTGTCTGTCTGGTTGTGATAATTTTTCTTGTATCTTCAGGAAATTTGGCTTTTGACGAAGACCACCACCACGGTAAGTCCTCACAACCACTACAAGTGCAGTATTATTAACGATCTTATTTGTGATGATATGGCTTTATTTTTCATTTTTTCTTCGTCCATTGTCTGTGCGCAGGTTCCCGCCTTGTTTACTTGAAGCTGAAATTATACTCCTCACTTCGGTCCAACGAATTACCTTAAAGTACCCAAATGTACCCAAAAGTATATTAAATCACGGTAAAATCTTAACGAATATATGTTTTACATCAATAAAACCTGATTAATAATGTTTTCATTGAAATGTAGTCAAACTAATGAAATAATAAACAGCGAAAAACGCTAAATTCCAAAGAGTCACCCATCCAAAATGAAGATATAATTACCGATGTTTCTGTTACTTTGGGGTATTTAACATAGCCGTAGGATTTACTTTTCGTTAGGTTAGGTTAGGTTAGCGAAGTGCATCACGATGGATCTGAGTTATCTCCTTTGTTCACGAACTCTTTGGAATTAAGCGTTCGCCAAGACTGAAAGTTTTTCGCTGTTTATTATTTCATCATACAAATTATTTTTACAAAATTAAACTAAAATTATTATTAAACATGTTTTGTGTATGTATAACAGATATTCGTTAAGATTTTATCCTTATTTGCTATACTTTTGGGTACTTTTGGGTAATTCGTGGCTCCCCCTCACTTGACGGCCGCGTGCTTGGTTTAAGTGAGAGCACTGTTCATACCCTGCGTGGTATATGATGGTTCCCCTAACCTGTACCATTTACATGTATTCTTATGGGAAAATTATGTTTAAATTATGCCTTTTTTAATTAAGCTGTGATTTTCAACAACGTAACCCCCGCGTAAAACGAGAGGTGGGTGTACGTCTAGCAACATCACATGCGTTGATCTCAGCTGATTTCTCCTTCTCTTGTTTATTGGTTGATGATTTTGTTAACTGAGCAACGATTGGCCAACTAGCTCTTGCACTGCTATCTACCGTCAGACAAGAAAACTGAATTCACAGGGTAAACACTAGAGTTACGGACTGCTTACTGACCCGTAATTAAATTTTGAGTATGAGAAATTTACGGGAATGTGAGGAGTCTAAAAGTCTCGATACCATATCTCTGCTACTTTACTTAACTGATGAGGTGTTTTGAGTACGTGGCCCCTCAACATCCCCAGCCAATCCAACAGTTAGTGAACAATGAACAGACTCTAGTTAGGGAAGTGAGGCTATTGGAGTACAGTGCAGAGCCAGCCAAGTTGTCTCCTGGGGTAAGTATCTACCAGTAAGTCTTCCATCAACCATGGAATTCTGAAAACTTCAGCATTATGATACTGTTCACTTTATTTCAGACATAAAGGTGTGAGTGGATGGAAAGGAACATTATGGTAGCATCAGGAGGCCATCCCACACAAGAGGCAGAACAATTCCTCACAACTGTATAATAAGTCAGGACAGTATGAGGATTAGTGAACATCTTCAGGAGAACATTGTAAACAAGATTAAGGTAAATTGTCAACTCTCCAAGTCTTAAGTTACAAATATGAAAGTCAAGTTGGTGTTCTAGGAAACAGTGAGAATAAAAAGAAGGTTCACACAAGTGAATCTTTCTCCTGACAATACCAGTTAAGTGATGCACTGTGTTATATATTGTCTAATTACAGTATGATGAGTGTTGTAATGTTTCTACCTAAACAACTACCTTGTGACTTGTGTTTGTGTACACTGCTGATAAAAGTTTCAATATATAAATGTGACAAGTGTTTGTCTGCTGTGCTTGTGTACTGGTGAGACAAGTTCACTTGGGGTAAATATTTCTCACACAAGTTAGCTCAAGAACCACATATATGTGCAGAATTTTAATGCAAATTTACCTGTGAAGAGTGGAGAACTTTTTATACAATACAAAAGTTACCCAAACGTGTGTACACTGAAGGAAATATTTTCTTGTATGGAGTGTTGTAAAGTGTGTAAAAGATGGCCCAGTTTATGAATGAAATAGCTGGACATAGCGGCCAAAATAATTATGAGTGTGTACAGTGTGGTGAATTATTTTACAGTAATGATTCATTGAAGATGCATAGCTGTATGGCTGAACACACTGATGAGATAAATATTAAGTGTGAAGAGCTTGATGAAAGCTTTAACAGTAACTATGATGAGATTAATATTAAGTGTGAAGAGTTTGATGAAAGCTTTAACAGTAACTATGATGAGATTAATATTAAGTGTGAAGAGCTTGATGAAAGCTTTAACAGGAACTATGATGAGACACAACATGTGACTGTTGATGAGATTAATATTAAGTGTGAAGAGCTTGATGAAAGCTATAACAGTAACTACGATGAGATTAATATTAAGTGTGACGAGCTTGATGAAAGCTTTAACAGTAACTATGATGTGACACAACATGTGACTGTTGATGAGATTAATATTAAGTGTCTCAAAAGTGGTAAAAGTTATGACAAAAAAGAACAACTAAAGCATCATATGGCTGTACACACTGGTGAGAAGAATTTTAAGTGTGAAGAGTGTGGTAAATGTTATTCCAGGAAATACAATCTGAAGCTTCATATGGCTGTACACACTGGTGAGAAGAATTTTAAGTGTGAAGAGTGTGGTAATTGTTTTTACGCAAAGAGGTTTCTGAAGAGACATATGGTTGTACACACCGGTGAGAAGAATTTTAAGTGTAAAGAGTGTGGTAAATGTTATTCCACAAAGGGTCATCTGAAGAGACATATGGCTGTACACACTGATGAGAAGAATATTAAGTGTGAAGAGTGTGGTAAATGTTTTTCCAGGAAATGCAATCTGAAACTTCATATGGCTGTACACACTGGTGAGAAGAATTTTAAGTGTGAAGAGTGTGGTAAAAGTTATTTCAGTAAGACCAGTCTGAAGCATCATATGGTTGTACACACTGGTGAGCAGAATTTTAAGTGTGAAGAGTGTGGTAAAAGTTATTCCACAAAGAGCCATCTGAAGCAGCATATGGTTGTACACACTGGTGAGAAGACTTTTAAGTGTAAAGAGTGTGGTAAATTTTTTTCCCAAAAGAGCAGTCTGAAGTATCATATGCTTGGACACACTGGTGAGAAGAATTTTAAGTGTAAAGAGTGTGGTAAATTTTTTTGCCGAAAGAGCTATCTGAAGTATCATATGGTTGTACACACTGGTGAGAAGAATTTTCAGTGTGAAGAGTGTGGTAAATGTTTTTCCTTCAAGGCCATTCTGAAGCATCATATGGCTGTACACGCTAGTGAGAAGAATTTTAAGTGTGAAGAGTGTGGTAAAAGTTATTCAACAAAGAGCTATCTGAAGCAGCATATGGTTGTACACACTGGTGAGAAGAATTTGCAGTGTGAAGAGTGTGATAAAAGTTATTCCACAAAGCGCATTCTGAAGCTTCATATGGCTGTACACACTGGTGAGAAGAATTTTAAGTGTGAAGAGTGTGGTAAATGTTATTCCAGGAAAGACAATCTGAAGCAGCATATGGTTGTACACACTGGTGAGAAGAATTTTAAGTGTGAAGAGTGTGGTAAATGTTATTCCAGGAAAGACTATCTGAAGCTTCATATGGCTGTACACACTGGTGAGAAGAATTTTAAGTGTGAAGAGTGTGGTAAATGTTATTCCTGCAAAGGCAATCTGAAGCAGCATATGGTTGGACACACCGGTGAGAAGAATTTTATGTGTAAAGAGTGTGGTTAATTTTTTTCCCAAAAGAGCAGTCTGAAGTATCATATGGTTGGACACACTGGTGAGAAGAATTTTATGTGTAAAGAGTGTGGTAATTGTTTTTACGCAAAGAGGTTTCTGAAGAGACATATGGTTGTACACACCGGTGAGAAGAATTTTAAGTGTAAAGAGTGTGGTAAATGTTATTCCACAAAGTGTCATCTGAAGAGACATATGGCTGTACACACTGATGAGAAGAATATTAAGTGTCAAGAGTGTGGTAAATGTTTTTCCAGGAAATGCAATCTGAAGCTTCATATGGCTGTACACACTGGTGAGAAGAATTTTAAGTGTGAAGAGTGTGGTAAGTGCGAAAAGAGCAGTCTGAAGTATCATATGCTTGAACTGGCAATTGAAGACTTTAAGTGTAAAGAGTGTGGTAAATTTTCCCAAAGAGCAGTCTGAAGTATCATATGGTTGGACACACGGTGAAAAGAATTTTAGTAAAGAATTGGTAAATTTTTTCCCAAAACAGTCTGAAGTATCATATGGTTGGACACACAGAAGAATTTAAGTGTAAAGTGTGGTAAATTTTCCCAAAACAGTCTGAAGCATCATATGGTTGGACACACTGGTAGAAATTCAGTGTGAAGAGTGTGGTAAATGTTTTTCCTTCAAGGCCATTCTGAAGCATCATATGGCTGGCACCTTGTGAGAAGAATTTTAAGTGTGAAGAGTTGGTAAAAGTTATTCAACAAAGCTATCTGAAGCATATGGTTGCACACACTGGTGAAAAATTTTAAGTGTGAAAGTGGTAAAGTTATTCCACCGCATTCTGGAAAGCTATATGGCTGTACACACTGGTGGAAAAATTTTAAAGTGTGAAGAGTGTGGTAAATGTTATTCAGAAGACAATCTGAAGCATATGGTTGTACACACTGGTGAGAAGAATTTTAAGTGTGAAGAGTGTGGTAAAATGTTATTCAGGAAAGACTATCTGAAGCTTCATATGGCTGTACACACTGGTGTGAAGAATTTAAGTGTGAAGATGTGGTAAATATTTATTCCTGCAAGACAATCTGAAGCAGCATATGGTTTGCTAGAAGAATTTATGTGTAAGGGTAGTTTTTCCCAAAAACAGTCTAGTATCATATGGTTGGACACACTGGTGAAAAAATTTTTAAGTGTGTAATTTTTCCCAAAACAGATGAAGTATCATATGGTTGGACACACTGGTGAAAGAATGTAAAGGTGTGGTAATTTTTCCCAAAAACAGTCTGATATCATATGGCTACACACTGGTGAGAAGAATTTTATGTGTTAAAGTGGTGGTTATTTTCCCAAAAACAGTCTGAAGTATCATATGGTTGGACACGGTGAGAAGAATTTTATGTGAAGTGTGGTAAATTTTTCCCAAAAGAGCAGTCTGAAGTATCATATGGTTGTACACACTGGTGAGAAGAATTTTAAGTGTAGAGTGTGGTATTGTTATTACACAAGAGTTTTCTGAAGAGACATATGGTTGACACCGGTGAAATTTAAGTGTGAAGAGTGTGGTAAATGTTATTCCCAAAGTGTCATCTGAAGAGACATATGGCTGTACACACTGATGAGAAGGATCATACATGAAATTTGTAGGGAAAGGTCTTACAGAAAAATGATCTGCACAACTCTTTGGTCTTGTAAGTTGTTAAGATTTATTTCAAATGTAAATAATGGATTACTTATTTCCAAAAGAAGACCATCTGGAAATAATCATCTGATGGCTGTGTTGGGAATCCTTGGTCGAATTGACTAACTGTTTACCATTGTTTGTACACCTGCACTGTATATTTGTTGTATACCTGCACTGTATATTTGTTGTATACCTGCACTGTATATTTGTTGTATACCTGCACTGTATATTTGTTGTATACCTGCACTGTATATTTGTTGTATACCTGCACTGTATATTTGTTGTATACCTGCACTGTCCACAACAGGCTGAATCTTTGAAACATTTTGTGATGAATTTACTGAATATATATATATATATATATATATATATATATATATATATATATATATATATATATATATATATATATATATATATATATATATATATATATATATATATATATATGTATCTGTGTGTCTGTCTGTCTGTCCAAGTAAGTAATAACACTGGCAAGTGAGATCCACAGCCACATTGGTCCTTATTGCAATGTTATATGATTTTTTTCCTTTATCCCTTAGATGGCAGCAGGGGTGACTGAGAGAGAACCCAATAAAAAAATTGTCTATATGGTTGTTGATGACCAATGAACACACACACATACAGCCTCAGTTGTACCAAAATTTTGTCGAATTAGGTATTTTCGAGTCCCAACGTCAGTACAGTCGGCCCTTAACATACGCTGTTAGGTAACAGAGATACCTGTGAATGTTAAAAATCCGTGTACTATTGCTGACCCTCCCCCCTTAAAAACCCCTGCCCCTCCCCATGTTCTTATTTACCGTATATACCTGTGTGTAGTTCGAAGTTTAAGACCAAACTATTTGGCAAAAAATTAAATCGTTCCCTAAATGGGTAATAGTTTTGTTAGGTTGAAAAATATTTACCAGTAACTACCAGTAAACAATGCGAGTGTCAGTATAGTTGCCAGGGCAGATCTCTTGAGTCATCATAGCAAGCCCAAAGTAGCCAAATGCATGGTATGGTAGCACAGGGCGATGTAAAACATAAAGTATTCATTTATTAAAGTTTATTTATAGATACTGTACATAAATTTTTGTTCATTATATTTGAAACATCAATCTTTGTCAATTAAATTTGAAACAAAAAGAAACTACGATACCGTACTTTCATTAAAATATTATATCACAATATATTTAGTATATTTTACCTTAACTGTGACTGAATGAATATATTCAGAAATAAATATGAAAATGTAATATTTTGCTGAAATGACATACATATTACAGTGAGTGAGATGCACAAAAACATGTAATTTCGCCGTTGTTCAAAAGATTTTACCATAATCGCTATCGAATGGTTTGCTAAAAAGTGTTGTACTGTATTACAATAATATTCTATCCTATCATTAGCCTCATAATCCCACAACTGACCAAAAAGCTTATTACGGTAACATCTTTTGAACGAAAGAAAGTTTAAAGTCATTGTTTCGCCACAATTTTATCCCACTTTCTACTGTAATAATGACTCTTTCAGCAAAAATATTACATTTCCATATTCTCAAAATAAATACAAAAATAACTTATTCTCAGAAACAACATAGTATTACCTCGCTTTTTACGCTGTGTTTCACTTTCTCCGCGATTTATATACTGTGCCTCGCGAGAACTGGACCCTCACTTTCCGCGTTCATCTACCTATATGAGGCCTAACGATCTTGCCCCATCCGCTTGCTCCTCCCGCCTGGCCAGCAAGCTGCTACGTAAGGATGCGCAGTGCATGTCTCTCGTTACGTTATCACTGACGCTACAGCGACGATCGGACTGGCGGATTAAAGCCATGCATCTCTACCCCTGCTGCCAGGGGCTGTAACTGGTTTAAAGTAATATGACGGTCCACCCGGGAGGACGGAGGAGGAAAGACGACGCTTGACCTAGCCGCGCAGTTTCATCCTCTCAGGCCACACCGTATACGGCATCCATTGTTCTGTGAAATGGCTTCCGCCGACCACCGCCACCAGAGAGAAACTCTTTCATCGCGGGACCCACGCCTTGTTGAAGAAGATACGCCGTGGCTCCTAAGCTAACACGGAAGTGGAAACACCAGATCATTCAAGATTTGGAGAAAGGAAATACGCCAAGCCTATCTCGCTGGGCTGAAGATGGAGTCAACGAATCTACGACCAGATTTATTAAGAAGGATGCAGCCAAGATCAAAGAGCCCATGAAATCAAGGTGTTCGTGGTGCTTTAATGATCGGCATTGCCAGAACAAGGTGCTGCTAAAGGTGGAAAATTTGCTGGAGTTACTTGATTTGTCAGGCGCGACGCAATACGTAGCGTGACACGCCAGACCGCTCAAGAGCACGACGTGAACCCCGTATGCAGTGTCACGAAGATGGGAATTGTAGAGCCCAATGTGGCGCAGCAGTGTCACGAAGATGGAATTGCAGAGCCCAAACCTTCAATGCTTCCTCTGGTTGGGCTGCATAGGCTAAGAAGATATAAACAATATCAAACCAACATCACATTGGGCGGTGAAGAAGCCAGTGCTGACCGCAGGGCGCTAGATTTTCCCCTCCATTTTACGTGAGGTTAGGAGGAAGGGCAGTTCACTGACGCATCAGGTGTCTAACATGGACGAATCCCACTTTTTGGAAAGCTGCTCTACCAAGGACCTTTCGGGCTGTCCAGTCTACAAAGGTTCGGGTCGGAAGGTAGAAGGAGCGCATCACCGTCTCTTTATCACCAATACCTTCGCACTATGTAACCAAAGTTATCGGGTGATTCACACAACCCGCAAGCCGTGATGTATATGTTGCGGACATGAACAAGCTTATCGTCCACTGGCTAACCGCATTTAAGGCGGATGTTTCTGCTCTGTCCTCTGGTTTGATGACTGTTTCGTTCCAGACGGCAAGAAATTCTGTGAGCAACAGAATGTTCCATTTAACATTTTGTTGCTCTTTGACAACGCACCAGGACACTCGCCCCTACTTATGGATCGTCACCCAACGTAAAAGTAGTCTTCCTTCCTCCCAACACTACGTCATTAATCCAGCCCATGGACCAGGAGTTGATCTGCAATGTTAAAGCTGCATACTCGGCAAAGAAATTCAAGCTCCTGAACGACTCTACCAACACCAAGGATGAGTTGCGTAAGCTGGGTGACACCGACAGCGAGAGTAAAAGCGACGAGGACAAGGAACAAGAGGTGGCGACTCAAGAAGTTCTCGTCAAACAGTTTTGGAAGAAATTTAACGTCAAGCAAGCTGTAGATTTCTTGGTGGAGGCATGGGATCAGCTGTCTATTGCTACGATTCGTTACGCATGGAGACATGTGTTGCATGGCATACCAGGTGAGAGGAGGAGTCAACCCGTGACTGGTGAGGTTCAGTCTGTGACAGTGGCATTGGATCTTGCAAGAGAAGCTGCGCGCAGTATTACAGCTGAAGGCTTCTCAGAGACCACCAACGAAGACATCC